ATATGATATGATATGATATGATATGATATGATATGGTATGATATGATATGATATGATATGATATGATATGGTATGATATGATATGATATGATATGATATGATATCATTTGATATGATAGGATATGATATATGATATGATATTATATGATATATATTATGATGTTTTATTTTATTTAATATGATTCCATACGATTTATTATAATATATTTATATTTCATTACATTATATTATTTGATTTACTATATTATATCATTTAAATGTTGTGTGTATATCTATAAACTGAGGACAAACTCTTCAAATTTTACCTGTACAGATTATCACCTGTGAATATTTTTCAAATTCGCCTACATCTTATTAAGTATCCAAATGCTGAGGCATTTGTCTGCTCAGCATATTTACATCAGATCTTATTGCAGGCTCTTCGACAGATGTATCTTTCTGGATTCCCCTAGGATGACCTCTCGACAACCTTAGAAAATTTTCACTGTTTCCTAATGAGATCGACCCACGGATTGCTTCATTGGACCATTTTACACGTAACGAACTTTAAGCCAACAATGAGCTTGAATAAGTTTGTTGATTTTTCCATGCCAGTGTTATTAGTAATCCCTGACCCCTTCTCATCTGTTTCTACCACTTTTTCTCTTATTTCTTTTTCTACACGCCTTGTACTCTCCACTCTATTCTACTCATCTTCCTGCTTTCGCTCCCATCTCCAGTTGGAGGTATATCTAAATGGCCTACGCAGCCTTCGTTCTCGGTGGGAATCCTACGTTGCTGAACGTGATGCACTTCGAAGCTGGTTAACCGGACGGATGACGGCAAGCCGACATCTGGTGGAAACGAAATCACGGTCTTCACAGCCGAAGAGCGAAGAGGTCCGAGCTCTTGAGGTAAAACGTTCGTGTATATGTGTCTATGTCATCGTTCTATATGCCCATCTGTACTTGATGCTTGATTAAGCACCCTGAACAGGTCAAACATGATTCCTGTGTTTTGCAGTGGCCCACAGTAAGAGAAGAATCCTCAATCGGTTCCAGACCTGACATCATCCACTTTATCTCCTGAACAGGAGGCAGCGCGAGGGAGATTCGATCTCATTTGTAGCATTGCAAATCCCGACATTTCTAGGCTCTTTACTAACTCTACTGTCGAATGCCCAACTAGAGGTGGGTCCCAAGTTGGAGGGTGGTGGCCATTGAGGGATGGAGAAGTTTCTGTCGCCGAGGAGAAGTTATCTATTGGGACTCGTCCCTTACCGCCCTCTACACAACTATGCTTTGATCAAGATGGTGTGGCCTTTTGTGTGGTCGCAGTCTCCTTTCGTTTTATAGAAGTTGTTTGACCTTGTTTTC